ATATATAATAATATTGATTAAAACTATCATTAAATTATAAATATGGTAAGAATAATACTTACAAACACCACATATTAGAAGAACTAAGATATATATTAATAATCGATTAACACATTGTTTATCTGATATGTATCCCATAATTATACGACCAATTATATTAGCAATTCCAATTACTGCAAGAAGATAACTTGCATTCTGTTTATTAATTCCTTGTTCTTCAGCTTGAGGCTATAATTAATATTTTTATTAAACTTATTTTTATTAAACTTATATATATATACAATATTATATCATTTTTAATATAAATTATTTGAAAATTATAAAATTTAATAATAATAAATTTAATAATAAATTTTTATATAAGCTTATAAATACCATAAAATCAGAATTAAAAAATTTTTACTATTAAAAAGTTAAGGACTTTCTTAATAAAATTTTATACATACCAATATATATATATATGGTATATAGAATCCAATACTGGTACAAAAGTTAGAAAAAATAAATAATATAAATATTGGATTTTTAAATATAGAAATATCTATATTTTTTTTAAGTTATCTACTTTCTTTTTATTATAAATTCTAGATGCAGAGTCACATTTATAATCTGATTTTATATGTTCCATTTTATTGGATAAACTTTTAGAAAATTCATGAATATGAAGTACTTCTTCACTATGCTCTTGTGTTAAATTAGGACTATATATAATTATTATTATATTAAAAAATTTAAGAATTTTATATTTATTTTTTTTTTAAATGAAAAGAAATTTAATTAATATTTTTTACTAACATCAAATACATAAATACAAAAAAATTACTTACTATTGTTTATAGATGTTCTCTGAATTATCTTGTATTATATTATTCGAAATTAAAACAGGTTGACTCAAAGATTTTATATCGGTTTTATTTTCTTTTCGAAAACTCACGCTGCATAACTTATTTTCTTTCTGATTATGTAAATTGTTTGAATATTTTTGAGAATCTTTTTTTCAAATTTTTGTGAAAATTCCTAAAAATTAAATACTAGATTTTAAATAGTATTATATCGCCAGTTTAAATATATTAAAAAAATAATAGTTTTATATAATTTTTAAATACATTCAATTTCAATATAATATATATATTCGACAAAAAATATTTGCATTTATTTCTATATAGTTATTTCTATATAATTCAATTTATTATATAATATAATGATATTATTATTAAATTTTTTATAATAATACATACAAGAATTTTATACCTCTGAAAAATTTTTCTTTTTTTCTTTATTCATTTCAAGAGGTCTAAAGAGTGCTCCAAGAACAATACAATTTAAAATAATTCCAGCACAAATCAAAAATGTTCCTCGCCATCCGTATATTGAGACAAGATAGTCTAAGAAAGGAGCGAAAATTAATGTACCTAAACCAGAACCGCATACAGCGATTCCTGTTGCAAGAGATCGATATTTTTCAAAATAACATGTTACACTAACGATGGCAGGTAAATAAATGCAACCAAAACCTAAACCTGTAATATTAATATTTTTTTAAAATTTATATAACAGATAGCATATATATCATGTTTTATTAAAATATATCTGGAATATATAGAGTGATTTTCATCGATACGTTTTACATTATAAGAATTCGCGATTTATAGCGCGAATCCATTAAAAATGAAAATCGCATATAATCTAACTTATGAATCTAACTATTGAACTTATGAATTTATTATTCTACAGCAGTTTTATTTAATAATTTGAAAGATATTAAAAATAATATATATTGATAAAAAGATATGAATTGATGAAAACAATATTCATGTTACCTGTTCCAATGCCAATTGAAAAATATAATGTCATAATATTTCGAGCCCACATACTCATCACTAAGCACATACTTGCTATTACTGAACCAGCTATGGCTACTATTCGACATCCAAATTTATTCACAAACCAACCTGATATTGGACCTTTAATAAATCTTTTATTATATTTTCAAGAAAGCAAAATTATTATCAATTACAAGTTTACCTGAAGATAAAGTGACACCAACTAATATTGATGCGATCCATGCAGTTGCACCTTTTCCTTCCTCGAAATAATATAAAAATTCTAAATAAAAAACACCGAACGAATATGTCGTGCCATCCACTATATTAAAAAAAAATTGTTTTTAATGAAAATAGAATTTTATTTTAGACATATTTTATTTAAGTTTTCATTTAGTCAAAATAATTTCATTAATATTCATTTCTTTGCAAAAAGAATTTTTGTTTATTTTATTTCCAATCATAAGTGCAATAAATATAAACAATATTTTAAATGAAAATGATTGAATATTATTATTTATGCACAAAATATTTTTTAATTCATTTAAATTTCATAATATCAAAGTATTTAATTTGGAAAATAAACATACACATGTATATTGTAAAAGCATTTATATTGTAATTTTATATTTTATATTTAAATATTTATTTATATTTTAAATGAAAGAGTTATATCTTAAATGCATTAAAGTTTCTTTGTATGTGATATTTTCATATATATATAATAAATAATAAGAGAATAACTGAACAATAATGCAGTTCGATTGTGGATATTAAAAACGAATTATTTTCGCTAAAATTCATTTATTATGTAACATTTCTATTCTAATTGTTTGAATGAAAATTATTTTAAATATAATTTTAATTGTTATATTTGTATTGATATGATCCTGTTATAATACTATATATTATATTATAATCTTTACAGAATAGATATAGTAATCATTTTTAAATTTATAATATTTAAAATAGAAATCTATAATTTTAATGAATTTTAATGAATATGTATATATATAATAGAAATATTATTTTTATATATATCATAGATAAAAAAATAAAAAGAAACACAAACAAACATATATACATATACTATATACTATATATCGTTTAAATGTTGTGCAATGTCAATCAATATCAAATCATTTTTTTCAATATACTCTTTTCTATTTTTCATATATTTAAAAATTTTTTAATCTTGTAATATATTAATTAGCGATCTCTGTTTATTATAAAGCTTATGTAAAATTTTAATTATTTTATATTATAAACAATCATATTAAGAAAATATAAGTATTTAAAGATTTATCATGCTCTATTGCATTTTATCTTTTTATATAAAAAAGGAAAATAATAATTATATAATATTTTATAATTTCGTCAAAATGTTTTCATGTTCTTCAGAAACTTTGTTCATGTTCGTCAAAACTTTCTGAAAGAAAGGGAAAAAATGCATGCGCAAATATGTATGAGATTAGTTTTCTTTCTTTTTAATAATCATGCACACAAAAAATATATATATTATAACGCATATTTAATTAATTATATTTAATAATGTAATAAATTAATTTGTAATTTGTAAAAAATACATATTCTTATACAAGAGAAAAAAATTTTCGATTCTTATCATATTTTCACAATTTAAATATAATATAATATCTGTAATTTTAATGAGATAAAAGAATTAAATATTAAAAATAGTCATATAACAATAGTCTTGGCTTTTATTCGTTTTCATTATTGGAAAAGTTTTTTTTTAAATATTATTATTATTGAATAAATTAAAAAAATTAATAATATATAATTAATGAATTGTGAAGTATTGGTTTTTTTGAGATATTTTTTATAAAATAAAAAACTCATTAGATCAACTTTAATAAATTTTTTGAATTATTATTAAATTAACATGATTAATTATAATTAAATTAACATGATTTATGATTTCGTCTTTTATTTTTGTTTTATTGTAAGATGTTTTATTTGTTTAAAATTAATAAAGATATCATTTATTCAATTAATTTTCTTAAAACCTGACGATATAATAATAATAATAATAATAATAATAACGATAAAATAATTCGAAAAGAAAGAAAAAGTAAATAAATAAAAATAAATTAACACAAAATATATTTTCATTAAATTTCTATTATAAATAGCAATATAATTATATTATTAACTTATATTGTATAATTGGCTTTTCATTGAAATAAAAAATGTTACAAGATATCTTAAATGTAATATAAATTTAAAAATTACTTTAAAAGTAATTTATAAAAATATATTGTTTATATTAAACTGAAAATATTTTATCATTATATGATAAAACATAAAATAAAATTAAATTCGAAAATAAAATTCGAAATTAGAAATGAAAGAAAAAGAAAAGATGGATAATATGTCTTTCCAATTTATAAATAAAACTGCAACAAATATATCAAACAAAAAAAATCCACTTACCGATTACATGAATTAGAAAAGCTGCTAGAACTACTATATAGCCCCATCCTCCGTCTGGTGGTTTTATAATATTTGATGAGTCCATACAAACGATATTTTCTTTATTGACATTTTTTTTATTCTGTCTATTTGCCTCAATTGAGGAGCTAACAATCGTATATGCCATGAACACAATTGAATGTTATTTCTCGCGATATCGAATATCGAAATTTTAAGTTGATATCAATATAATAGAAAAAAATGAAAAAGAAAAGAAAATATTGAGACTTTAAGAAATACATTATTTTTAACAATACAAAAATTATTATTATGTTATTTAGAGATAATATTAAATATAATAAATTTTTAACATAAGCGCGCCTTTTTCTTTGTTACAAATTTCAAGAATTTTCTTTCATTTCTTTCATTATATGATAATGATAAATAATGTATTAATCAAAATTCATTTTAATATTAATTATAATATTAATTTATTTATATTTGGATACATTTGTCGGTATAATCTTTATCAGAAAAATATAGCTTTACTATGATAGTATCTTAGTATGATAGTATCGATTTATTAATATTAATTTTTTAATATCAATTCATAACTAATATTATTAATTTTTTAGTATCAATTCATAACTAAGCATAAAATTAATATAATAAAAATATAATAATAATATTAACATGTAAAATTGATTGAATTAAAATAAAATTAATAAATAAACATTCATTTGAATACAAATATTTATTGATCTTCAGAATTATTTTTATTTTTTTTATTTTTTTTATATAAAGTGAAGTTTTAACTTTTTAATATAAAATCAACTAATTGCTCTGTCAATATTTTCAAGATCTCCTCTTGAATGATCATTCATTTGTGGACGTAATTCATAAGTACAAATAGTAACACCATGTTGATGTGCAGGTGACCATTCTCCTTTTAATCCAATGTAATAAATTTTTATTTTATCTGTTCTTTCAGTACCAATAAAGTGTAAACTTAAATGATATAATGATGAAAATTTAACTATCCTAAATTAAAAATTATATTGTATATTTATATAATAACACTATTTTATATAATGCTTATAGACATAATCAGATATATATACTTAAGAGAATATTCATGTATCCCATTTGTATCTATACATAAATCAAACTCTTGTTCTGGTTCTGTGTTAATATCATCAAATGTCATATGTGGTCTATTTTTATACCTATATCAATAAGATTTTTTTTTAATATATATATAATATAGATATTTTACATTTTTATAGGTTCTAAATTCTATTTTTATATATAAAAACTTACAGTTTTACTTTATTTGGATGAAAATCATCTTCTCCTCCTATAATAATAAGGCCTTTTAATTTTATATTTCCAGTAAAACTGAAAAAGAAATAATAATATTTCTACTAATGTACTTTTGTTAAAAAATATGTCTAAATAAAAAACGTACGGGATATTAAACAGAAGTTCATTATCCATATCACTTTCGACATACTGAAAAAGAATATAGAAATAATATACAAATTTATATATATATAATATATAATATATATATATATATTTATATACATACATATATCATAAATACATAAATATAATTGTAATATAATAAAAAATAATAAAAAATAATAAATGAAATAAAATAATATAATTTATATAATTTATATTAAAAATCTTTTTTTTGTGATAATTACTTTATTTCTATCTAATCTATTTTCCCATGATTTAAATACAGTAGCCCCACTACCTTCCTCATATTCATTTAAACATTCTATGTTTTCTATATCAATTTTTTGGTATAAATTATATTGTACACCCAATTCTCCATCATTATGTATACCTCCACAACTACATTGATGAGCCATTTTTAAAAAACCTGAATAAAAATATAGATAATAAATCAACAAATAAATAACAAATTTATATTAACATTAATATCAATAATAATTACAATAATAATTGTAATAGATTTATTATTTTAAAATATTTTTCTTATGTTAAAAATAATACACTTATACATTACTAATATATAAAAATATAAATAAATTATACATTAATATTATTTTATCTAATTAACTGTAATTAAAATGAACAAAATTAAAAATATATAAATTAAAATACAATTATTACTATTTCAATTTTAAATATATAGAAGAAAGATATGTATGAATGAATTAATTCGATGTGCAACGTGACAAAACGTTTAAGGTACTAAAAACGATAGTCGGAATTATGTATGTATTTTAATAATTAAATATATATATGCACATATTATTATTATTAAAAATATAAAAATATTACAAATAATTATGATATTAAAGTTATTAATAATTTGTTAAAATTTTCTTTCATTTTAGTTTCAATTTATATTATAATAATATAATATAATATAATATAATATAATATAATATAAATAAGAAAATTATTATAGTTTTATATTAATTTAAGATAAATATTACCATAAAAATTTTAATTTAAAAGATTATATTCTTTATTTATTAATATTTATTTTATATTTAATATAATTAAACTTTTGTAAATATTTGTTTAAAAGATCTTGTTTCTATTAAAAACATATTATATAAATTTATTTATCTAGTTCGTAATATACTTTCATTAAATTTTACTTAGATATACAATAAATTTTAGGTCTTTTTTGTTTTAAATTTGTTTTAATTTTTTTTTAATAACTAAAATAAAATCTAAAATGTCACAATTCATTGGTTCAAAAATTATATATAATGTTTTACGTTTTTAATATAATATGATATATAGAAATATTTTTATAACACATATTATTTCATATTCTTATATAATATTTTTTCTTTTTGTATATTTATTGAAATACTAATATTTGAATTGGTTTCTATATTTATAATTGTTAGTTGGTAACATTGAATTTTATATTACTTATAACTTCATTCAGTTAGTCACTATTGTTTTCTGTACAGTTTAATACTTCAATCATAAGTAACAGTAAAAAATATCTGGGATTTTAAAGATATGTAATACGAAAGTGAAAATATTATGATATTGTCATAAAAAAAATAATTATATAGAATATAATAAACTTATATTTTTTATTATTCAAATGTTTTTAGTTCTTAAATGCAAAGGAAACCAATCCTTTGAGAATCGTGATTGTATTTGTGAATATTTAATTGATTAATGGTGATTTCATAGCAAATGAATATTTGCATGCTGCAGTTATGTGCTTCCATTGTGAAAACATAATTGTTTTATGGTGATAATATGTCAAAATCAAACATAAGGAAGATAACGGTTGACCCTACGAAATGTAATACAGACTCTCGTCGACCTAGTGTGTTTGAGAGGTTGGGGACTAAACCAGCAGTTACTGCCGGCCAAAATTCATCGGATTATTGTAGAAACTGGGCATTAAACGGCAGTTGTTCATATGGAAAGAATTGCAAGCAAGTATAATTTGAAATCAATTTATTTTGCATAAAAAATTAAATATGCATTTGTTCTATATTTTTTATAGTAATGATAATACATAATTATATATTAAATTTATTATTCAAATCATAGAGTAAGAATTATCATTGATTTTATTTAAGATGATCATCATTTTCTTTTCTTGATATTGCAATTAGATATGCAAATACTCACACATTAATAAGTCCGTCCAAGCGTGCCAAAAAGGATAATGCTATTGCAAGTACAACTGGAGTAAGTATATAATTTATATCAAATTCTCTGTAAAAAATTTAATTAAAAAAAAATCAAAAATATTGTTCATTTGTATTATTTTATTTAAAGATATAGATATTTATATTTATATATATTTATTAATATTTAGCTTATTGAGGATCCATTTAAAAGGCTTACTTCTAAGATTGTAAAAAAACATCACATAGTCCTGATTTAAATTTAGAAGAGTGGAATCAAACAGATTTGGAATACGAAGACGAAAAAGTATTAGAGAGACGTAGACAATTGTTGCAGCGTGAATTAGAATTACAAATGAAGAAAGATAAAGAAGTTCATGGAAAAGATAAAATAAGACAAAAGAAAAAAGCTATGACTTCTTCCTCTAGTTCACATACTTCAAGTACATCTAGCAGTAGTAGTAGTTCTAGTAGTGAAGATTCATCTTCTAGTTCAACATCTGATTCACGTAAAAAAATAAAAAAAATTAAATCTAAGCGACATCATAGTGGATCTACTGATTATGATGAAGATAAAGAAAGAAAACGAAAGTAAGCTATATATCATTATTAAGTATTATTTTATTTTATTTAACATGTAAAAATACTTAAAATTTTTAAGATTATTATGTTATATATTTTTATGTATAACATAAATATTAATATAAAATTACAAATTAATAATCTATATTTTAATATTTTTGTTAAAATTTAATGTATAACTAATGTATAAACCTATATAAAAAAATTATATAAGTTTTTTATTATTTAAAAATTTTTACAGATTAAAATTAAAAAGACTTGGAACAAAAAATGAAAAACTATCAATCAAGAAGAAACGTAAATTTGAAAGTAATTCCACAAAAAAGGAAATTAGTGCTAGAACAGCAAAAAAATATAATTCATCTTCAGCATCAAAAAAACATTCTTCTACACCTCGTACAAGATCTCCAGCAATACAAGTATCCACAACAGTAACATCAACAACAACCTCAGTATTAGGCTCTTCAGTATCTGTGCCTCATCATGGAACATCCAATAAAGTTAGAGAAAGAAATAGAAGTGAATCTCCAAAAATTGTAAAAGGCAGAGATATGGAGAAAGAAGATAAACATTATAAAAAAATACGTGATATAGATGAATTATCTAAAGATAGTGTTAAAAATAAATCTTTTGATAAAATTAAAGAACAGGATAAAGAAAAAAATCGTGCAATAGATGAAAAAATTAAAACAAATGAAAGATTAAAAGCAAAATGTAAAGATAAAGATATACGATCTAGAACATCTCCGACATCTGAAAGATCAAAACATCAGCACTCGAAAGAAACAATTTCAACTAAAACTCGCCGTAGTCGTACACCTGAAAAATCATCAAGATCATCAAAACGAGAGTTTACGCCATCAAAAACTCAAGATAGACAACTTTCTACAAACAGATCTCGAGATACAGAAAAGAAAGATCGTGAATCACATAAAAGTGATAAAACTAAAGACCGAGAAGATATACGAAAAAATGAACAAAATAGCAAAACCAGACAGGTATCAAATCAAGAAGAAAGCCATAGAAGAATTGGTAAAGAATTTGACGATAAAACTTATTTAGGTGATAAAACTCGACAAAAGAGCAGAGAACGTCGTGATAAAGAGCACACGAGAGATGAACGTGGGCATTCAAGGCTTGCTCGAGATCAACGTGATGGTCGTGATAAAGATAAAGAAGATTTACAAGAACGTTGTCGCGAACGACCACGGGAAAGAGATCGTGATCGAGATAGAGATCGAGAACGTGATCGCGAACGAGACAGAGATCGAGATCGAGATCGTGATCGCGATAGAGATCGAGATCGTGATCGAGATCGAGATCGTGATCGAGATCGTGACCGTGATAGAGAAAAAGAATCAATTAAATCAAGAGATAGAGATGTACCATCTTTAGTTTCAGCATCGATAAATTTAACAACGGATAAGAATACGCGTTATAGTCGGGATAAAGAACGATTAATAATGAAAGATAATATTTTTGAAAAAAATGGAACTCGAGAACGTAGAAATGATAGAGAAAGAGAACGATCTGAAACAAAAACTCTTTCTGATAGAGACAGAACGTCACAGCGTATTGATAGTAGATATGATCGAAATACTGTAGATAAGGATACGTCAGTTCGTAAAGCTGGTGTAAATTCACCTAGAGATCGCGTTGATCGTTTTCCGCGAGAAAGATCTTTAGACAGAACATCGTTGCTCGATAAAGGTACACACAATGCACCACCATTATCACAAGCATCTTCTTTACCAGTTGTTCAATCTTCTATAACATCTTCATCATCTTCATCCGCTCCACCTACATTGTCAAATTCGCGAGATAATTTAATTGATAGAATAGATGTTACACATTATGATCGTGAAAGACACAGACGATTCAGCACAAGGTATGATCGAAATCATACATCTGAGCATGATCAATCACGCGTTACGCCAACCAAAGTTGATCGGTTAATCGAAAGACGAGAAAGTAGTCCGCGACGAACAATTGAAATTGACAGAAATTACAATAGAAATTACGGACGTTTATCAGAACATTGGGATGAACAAGAGGAAGCATCTTCACATTTAGATTATCGTGATCATCATGTTCATGAAGATGATAGAAGAAAAACTGTTGATGGAAGAAGATATGATAGTCCATTTGATGAAAGACGTGGAATTCGTGAAGAAAGATCTCGAGAATCTAGATATGTTGTTCAAACAACTGATAGAAGTTCCTTTGATGATCATCGGCATCATCATCATCATCATAGACATCCACTTTATTCTGGAGAAAAATTAAGAAGTAACACATCTATTAGGTATATTAATTAATTCTAGATATATGATAATCTGCATTATTATTATTAAATCAGATTATTACTTAAAATAATGCAGATTTTTTTTTTATTTGCTTTTTATTATTTTTTATTTATTTTTTTTATTTTTTATTATATAGAGATGAAAATGTTCCTAATGATGATTGGGATAATCATCATCGTGATGTAGAACATAGCCGAGAGCGAACTTATGGTCCCGTTGATTGGGAAGAAAGAGAATGGCGAGTAAGAGCATTATGGGATAATAGAGAGAGTCTTCCTCGATCAGAAGTACATGATGATGAATGGAATTCTCGATATGATAATTCTGTATCAGATTGGAAATCAAGCGATTCTCGAAAATGGGATAATCAATCAGTGCATATTCGAAGTCATTATAGAAATGATCGATCTAAGGAATTAGAAATAGCAGAGTCCACATCACATAAGTATGTTATAAATTTATTTAATCAATGATTTTTATAAATATAGTTATAAGTTATTATATATAACTTATATATTTTTATAAATATATAAGTTATTTTTTATTTCTTTTTAGTAAAAGAAGAACTTATAATAGTTCTGAAACTAGAGATGAATGTACAGTTCATAATTCTAAACAAGCATCTTTATATGGTAGTATGAAAGAAGAACCTATTAATAAAAAGTTAATGGAATTAGCAGAAGGTAAATTATCTATAACTCGAGAAAAATCTACAGATACTTTTCAAAAAAAAGGCTGTCTTAAAAGAAAAATCTGAAACAAAAGAAACTGTTACATCTGATTCAAAACGTAGTTGCATTGATGAATCTTTACAAACACTTCATACTGAGAGTGATCTCAGTGATATTAGTGATGATCCAGATGATATATTAAACATGGAAGATATCACAGTACGTTCTATTTATTTTGATTGGATATTTAATTGAATTCATTTTATAAATTTAAGAGTCCATATTAAAATTTTTAAAACTAATATTTATAGGATATAGATATAAATAAAACGAGAGTAACGAAAAGAACTCCCGATATTATACAACGAGATGGTCAACCAACAATTCAAGAGGCAGATCTTTCATCTCCAAAAGAAACTATAGAAGAAACAGTTTTTAATGCTAAAGGAAAAGATAATACTGATACAATATCATTTAGGTAGTATTTTTAACTTTTAAAGTTTTTAAACTTTGTTATTTATTTTATATAGATTATATTAATAAATGATTAAAATATATATAAATTATATTAATAAATTATTAAAATATATATAGAAATATGGAAGATGAAAATATGGAAACTATGGATTTTGAAGAAATTTCTGATGGTGAATTAGAAGAGGACATTAAAACGAGTGGTAAAGGTTTAGGAGATGCTTTAGGAGTTGATTGGGAGAGTCTTGTTAAGGAAACGCAATCTCGTAAATCTACATCATGTAATCAAAATTCAGAAAATCGTTGGCAATGCAAAGCAATTTTACATAGAATTGGTGTTTCTGCGAAATATGCAGGTGAAGATGTAATGAAAAAATTGACAAAAAAATATGGAAAGGACGGTTTGTTATTTAATATATTTTAGTAAATTATTTTAATCATATTTGTTTAATGGTATACTAAATAAATAATATTTATTTTTAGATCATTCGGAATTTTTCCTTCACAATGTTGCATTTATGCACACAGCACTTACACGAAATCATTTGCTGCGTGATTTAAATAATGATACGCTATCTACGGTAGATGATTTTCTGTATAGGTAAACATTGTTAAATCATTTTTTAATAAAGTAAAATAATATAATAATAAATAATATCATTATGAATAACATATATATATATATATATGTTACAGGAATAATAATGTAAATATTGATGAGGATGTAGATTACGATTTAGAAGTTTTAAGACCTTGTACAGCTTTATATGAAGAAGCAAAATGTTTATTAGAACAAGCTGTATGAAATATTTTTTTATTTATAGGACGTGATTTTCAGAATTGCACTTTGCTACTACATTATATTATAAAATAGTATAGAGCATAAGTGCATCATTTTGTTACTTGCTAGTCTAGTTCAGCTATTTAGATATTTTCTGCTGCAAACTTAGCCATCTATGGTGCAATGTAAAAAGAGATTAAATTGATACTTTTTTCTTAATATCTAGTTCTTTAATTTTCCATAATTAAATGTCTTTTATTATTCAATTTTTATATTCTCTCTATCAAAATTATAACAACTTCAATTGAATATTACAAATAATGATATATTTGAAAAATATATAATTTTTTAAATATTATATTTTTTTATATTATATTTTTAAATATTATATACAATTTTTTGATTTTAAAAATTATACATTATTTTTATTCTTTTAAATTTTTTGATTACACAATTATAACTAAATTTTATATTATCGACAATATTTTCTTTATATTTTTGCATATAATAATTATTTTTTAAAATATTTTTGATCGTATTCGAATCTAACAGCTGAAATAGTATCATTTTGCAATATATTAATTACTTCTTTTAATAAACATTGATTTTCATCAATCTGAAAAAATATTCAATATAAAAATAAAATATATCAAAACTATCAACAAATAACTAAATAAAATATGCAATAAAATTTTCATCTACCTTCTGAATATCTGATTGTTCGAATCGTTTCATTTTTTCAAGATTTGTGCAATATAATTCATATAAAATGAGACCTAAAATATTAAAAATTAAAATTTTTAATATTCTATATATATTCTATATATAAAAATAAATAAGACAATATAATATATAATTATAATTTTTATTTTAAATATATTTACCCTTTTTTGTAGAATCACCACTGTTTAAAGTATCTAATACGGAAAGTAAATCATTGCAGTAATTTGCCTTGATATCCAATTCAGTATCAGTTAAATCTAATATAATGTTTAAAAAAATATCATACAGTGTATAAATTAATAAATTTTAAATGAAATAAATTTGTATATTATTCATACCTTTCCATTGAAGATCGTCACTTCTGCCATAATATGAAATAATTCGAAATTTCACATCCATAATAAGATAATTACTCTGAGGAACTATAATTGAAAGATCTTTTTGTAGAAACTTAAAGATCTCGCGTGGTGTTTTATATATAACTTCCTCTATGATAGCAGCTAAACCTGATCGAATCGAACATATCTAATAAAAAAAAATAAAAAACAAAATCTACAAAATCTAAATTTTATAAATAATGGAACTAAAATTAAAATTTATTAAATTAGTATCAGCTCTAAAACAGAAAGCAATAAAATTAATAAAAACTTAATTACAGTATGAATTATGTATGAAATAAATTATTAATTACAAAGCATATATTTATGATTTGTATAATATTGTATGATTTGAATAACTATTAATACCTGTCTATGATTTACCGATATGGTACATTTATTACAAATCCAAGATGTTCTCATATTAAGAGGATTTTTTGGTAATAATTCTCCACAACATTTATCAGATGCACACAAAAGTGCACCTAATTTGGAATTAAATTCCTAATATAATTAAAAAACATTCTCATATTTCAATTATTAATATGTTTATAAAATTATTATATCTTTACAATTACCGTAGGATCACTACATCTTTTACACATGCAAGAAAAATTTTTAGTCACATTCAGAAATTGCCGCCGCAATGTTGTATCCCAAAATAAGCTTGTGTAGGACATAGTGATCTCTTCTCCAGTAGAAATTGGAAGAGCAGCCCTAACATATAATTGAAATTCTTCATCAAAATAATGTCTTGTATTTGGTATACAACAATGATTTTGCAATGAACCCAGGGGATAAAGTCCTCGTAAATTTGTAGAATGGTCTTTGTCATGAACACGAATCGTTTCAAACGAATTTGTGTTAAAAGCTCTGCATACGCGTTCCATCATCTCTATGTCTTCGTCGCTTGGAGAATTCATTACATTTTTCTTGAGCAATTCAATCTTTTCGCATAGAAATATATTTCATAATAGTAAAAGATAAAAATGTTTAATTATGTAAAAAAAATATTTATTTATTGAAATGTTAATGTCAATAATGATTATCAAATTAGTAGTATCATATTAATAATTTAAGAACTATTTGCATAAGTAATAAAAATAAATAAAATTTCACAATTTTTTTTTCTATCAATCTTCAAATCAATTTTTATATTTAATATTTATTATTACGAATATATTAATAACAAGATAAATTTAATCAAAGTTTTAAATCTAGATTTAAACTTTTATTCTTTAAATGTATATCATCCTTATATAAGTTAATTTTCTTTTTATTAAAAATTTCATTTTCAAATGATTATTAATATTAATTAATATATTAATAAATTAATATAATATTAATTAAAATAACTTATTAACATAAATTGTACCTCATATTTTGAAAATAGATTTTTATTGTATTGAAGAGTGGCCAAACATTTACGCTGCATTTTTGTCATAAAAAGACCACGTATTGGTATCGTAGCTAACAATAAATTCAAGCACCAATCGGTACCACAAATCGGTACCAATGATCTCAAATATTCACATTCGTTCACATGGTTCGGCGAATTCTCACATTGAGTGGAACAAACCGGCAAACCGCAACCTTTATCGCATGGAAATAACGGGCATTCGTTTTTATAACAACATACGCACATTTTTGTATGTTTATTTGAACACTTTGGCCCGACTATCAAAGGTGCATCGATGAAGATCAATTCGTTTTGTTTGATGTCTCGAGTGGCGAACATACCACGACCGCCCAGCGATGAATAACCAACAGTCCATAGTTGTTGTTCTTGAAAGATTTTATTTTCCTTCAAATGAGATACAAATACTTCTTCCACTTCTTTTGGTTCGATTATATCCTGAATATTCATATTAAACAATGATGATGATTTTGAAAAGAATTATTTTCTAACAACTGATCTTAAAGAATTTTGTCAGAATATATATATATATATATGTTTAAGAAAATCGTCAGATTATATAATGCAATTATATTTATATACTATGTATCTATATATTGCATCAATCTTTATATAAAAATATGAGAGGATTAATTAGATTATTAACTAAAATTTACATAAAATATTTTTATTCATAATGATATTATTACGTGAAGAAAATAGTTTGTATGTTTGTCTGTATGCTTAGTTTTAGTCAGAAATAGAATTGAAATTTTATATTTAATATTTGCATTTTATTTCATTATTGTTGTGTTTAATTATGACTCAATTAAAAATTAAAAATTAAAGTATGGAATGATAAAATTCATATTTATAAAATATTTTACATGTCACAAAAATAGAAATGGAGTTAATCTTTCATTAATAAACTGATTCTATTTCAATTGTATTATTAGACGAATTAAATGTTACGTTATACCGATTCAAAACATTAATATTTTTAAAATCGAATAAAATTTATTATTGATGAAGCAAATTTCACGCAAGCGTAACTGACAAGTATCATTGTTGTATAGTATTAGCGTTGCTAAGACTACCAAATGGTCAACTACCTGCAAGAAATACCAGTTAAAATATTCTATCTTCTGAAATGTATCATATTCGAATATTGAGAAAAAGTACATATAAACCGATGAGTGGCGCATTATTCGCGGTTACTTTAATTTTTTAAATAGAAATAGATAAAATTTTAATTAATTCTAAATTATCAAAATATAAATATATTGTTCCATATACACGTATATTCACGTATAAATCAAAATTTTTTCTATGAAATTTATTCTATTCTATAAGTCTATTATCTAATAAGTATAAGTCTATTTATCCAATAAGTATATTTTTCATATAAAAATTTGTAATGATCTATAGCAAACATACATGTATATAAGAGTTATATTATTTTTATTCAGAATGTGTTATAAAAGGATGAATATTGAAAAATTTATAAAAGAAAAATTTTTTATTCTGGCAATATTTTTCCTCTTAACGATCAGTTTTTCACAAGGTTTGAATTGTAGCGGAGATCCTTGCATGTACGGAATATGTTTAGAAGATATAAACAGGTATATAAATCAATTATTAGAATGCAAAATAAATAAATTTTCATTCTTTATTTTATTTTTTATACTTTTATATCATTTTTTAAAACAAGAAAAAAAATTGAATAAAAAAGATGATTTTTTATAAGTATTTAAAATTAATATATTAATCATTCGTCCCATGCATATAATACAGCACTTATTCTTGCTACTGTATCGACGGTTACACTGGAATCAATTGCGAAATCAATTGGAATGATTGTTGGTCTAATCCTTGCCTAAATGGAGGAACATGCAACGATGCTGTTGCTGCTTATAACTGCACCTGTGCCGAAGGGTTTATAGGTAATTTATGATTCCTTTGTTTATTTTTCATAGCACGTACGAAAACGATCCTTTGACATGTTAACAGAGAAAATTATTAAATATAATATAATTAAATATAAATAACGTATTTGTTCTTCTACTTATTTAAACAAGTGGAAAAAAAATTGAATATTATATTTTTATATTCATATGACTACAATAATAATAAAATACTCGTATTATTTCACATTGTATTACACATATTTTTAGGTATAAACTGCGAGCAAAAATATAGCGAATGTTCGAATCAACCCTGTCTAAATAACGGAACTTGTCTCGATTACGATGGTATTACTTGTCAATGTCCTGATGGATACTCAGGTAAAATTAATGTATAAAAATTTTTTTATGTTTATATTTTATATTTTATTAATGTATAAATTTTCTTATCTACTTCATCTAATAGTATTTCTTTTTCAGGAGATTATTGCGAAATTGACGCTTCGGTTTGTAATAATACAATATGTAAAAATGGAGGTGAATGTGTGGAAGGACCTGGATTTTCTTTTTTTTGTCGTTGTTCTGAAGGTACTTTTTTTTTAATAATTTAAATAATCTAATGTTTCAATTTAAGTATTTAGATAAATTGAATTTCAAAGGTTGGACAGGTCGATTATGTGATGAAGATATTGATGAATGTGTTACATCGCCATGTAAAAATGGTGGTCTTTGCATTAATATTCCTGCATCGTATACTTGTGCTTGTTTATTTGGTAAGTTACAATTATTTATTAATTATTATTATCTAAATTATTAATAATTTAGAAAATGATTTATCTTAAAATATGTTTGAATTATTATGAATTCAATATTAAAAATTCTTCATAAGGATATACAGGTAAAGATTGCGATAAAGCGATTGTACCTTGTGAAGAAAATCCTTGCAAAAATAATGCAGTATGCTTATTCGAAGACGAACATCAAGTTTGTTATTGTGTACCAGATTATCATGGTACATTATGTGAATTAAAATATGATGACTGTGAATCCAAATTTGTAAACTGTGAAAACGGAGGTACTTGTATCGATGGTATCAACAGTTTTACTTGTGTTTGTCCAATATTTTATAGTGGACTATTTTGCAATGTTTATGATTTTTCATCGACTACTTCGTTTTTCGAAAAAACATTTGAGACTGATAACGAAGAAAGGAATATTGACTTTACTTTACTCACAAAGTCATCGACACTGCCAGAAATTGATACATCATCGTCAATGAGTACTTCCATGGCAGCGCAATCTTCAACTTCCTTTAAAAGCACTAATCATTTCTATACAATATGGTACCCTTCTATAGAAACAACCACCTCAAGTTATAAAAACGGCGTTAATTTTTTTAGTAGTAGTACTAGTAGTAGTAGTAGTAGTAGTAGTAGTACTAGTAGTACCGATACTAGTAATAGTATTAGCAAAAACAATGTAGAAAGTACTCCGTTTATTTCTGATATTTCGACTATGTATCCTGTTATAAGTAAAGAGATATCTCAAACTGAAACGGTCTCGTTAGAACCTCGAACATTTCCTAATGTTTCAAATGAAATTCATTCGATGACTTCAACGTTAAAAATTGAGACAGAATATTCGACACACAAATTAATTCATAATGAAACAAATACAACTGAAATTATTTATCAAGAGAATGATAGAACGCTTAAGTCTATTAATGATACGTCATCTTCTGAAGAAGAAAGTACGATAGGATATATTTCAAGTTCAAGGTAACAGTGATATATATTTTATTAATAATTATCTAAATATAATGAAGAAAGATAAAAGTTCCATTATACTTTATTATCAATTAGATATTATACAATTATAACTAAAGCTGCTAAAAAGACGACGGAAGAACCTACAATGATAGAAACTAAAACTAGTACTCCATTTTCGACTACATCTTCTTTAAATTTTACGAAATTTTGGAAAAATAAAAGCTCGGATTCAAGTACGTCAATAATAGAAGTGCCAAAAACTACATCTTATTCATTTATAGATAAATGGTCGTCTACAGAACTATCAAAATCTTCAAGTACAGAAAGTTCTACATTTGCCTTTACTAATAATATTTCTTCATTTGCAACAATTAATAATTCTATAAAACCAACATTTGAAATCTATCAAATGAACACTACCAACAATGAAGGTGAACAATTTTTAACAAAAGATGAATCAATAACAATTTCAGAAAGTTCTATCATTCCTAAATGTTATGGAATATTATGTCCAAGTTCCACAGTATCACCTATACGCAACGATAATAATGCAAGTATTATAAATTTTTTTATTATTATGATAAAAAACATTAATATTTTTCAAATTATTTTTAGTGTAATTGTTCCCATCACAAAAATTGTAAAACTGATCCAAATATAATGCGCGCGGCATTTAATGGAAAATCTTACGCAAGACAATATGTAGATGTAGAAAATTCAAACGACAATAACGCAACGTTAAAAATTTTTGTAAGACTTAGAACGCATTTTAAAGATGGTATTATATTACATATTTATTTCGATGATGAAAAATATGCTTTGGTATATTTAGAATATGGTTCTTTAAAGTTTCAATTTTCTTGTGGAGTTGAAACTATGTTACTTGGTGAAATAGACTCGCCTATTAATAATGGATATGAAGCAGATATAGATACAAGGTAAAATAATACAAAAGATAATATGTTATTTATTCCATTTGTTTATTATATTCTCTTATTTTATTTAGATTTCAATATTTCATGAAAAATGAAACTAATAAATGTTCAGCTCGTTTATTAGTAAATGGAACAACAGCAATTAGTGGAGAACAAATTTTACCATTACATGGACATCTTCCACAACATGCTAATTTACATTTAGGTGGTATACCATTGGTATTTTCCCATTATTTTGCCCATGTCTCTATGGGATTTACAGGTTGCATGAATTTACTAAAGGTTGTTTATTTTTTTTTTAATATATATATATATACAATGTATATTTTGGAAATATCTAAAAAATTTAAAGTTATATTTTATTTTATTAATGTAGGTGAATGATATATCACGTCATTTTATTCACGATTCAATTGAAACGTTTCAAATTGAAGATTGCATATCATTTCTATGCTTGTCAAATCCATGTCAAAATTTTGGTGCATGTGAAGAAATAAATAATACTGTGCATTGTAGATGCATAGCCGGGTAAAATATTTTTATAACTCAATTTTTCGTCTTCAAAAATTCGATACTAATAAACATCAAAACAATAAAATAAAATATTATTTAATTAAATAGATACACCGGTCCTTTTTGTGAACGTTCAACGTGTGATGAAAATCCTTGCGCTTTGGGTGCAACTTGTATCAATTCACCAGGTACAGGTTTTGTTTGCGTTTGTCCACTTGGAACTCATGGACTTTTATGTGAAGAAGGTAATATATATTAAATATATATTATATATTTTATTTTACAAAAAAAATAATTATTTTTTAAACTATAGATACTGTTATAATGCGACCATCATTTTCGGTACTTGTACCTGGATTCTCATCATATGTTGCTTATGGCATTTCAAATTCTATAAAAGATACAATGGAATTGAAACTAAAATTTATACCACGTACTTATGAGCAAATATCTTTAATAGCTTATTTAGGACAAAGTGGATCACGTCAAGATTTGTCAGATCATCTTTCCATAACATATGTTCGTGGTTATATTATGTTAACATGGGATTTAGGGGCAGGTAGTAATTTAATATTTTAAATATTTTAAAATTTTTTCAATGGAATTTTGTGAAAATATTTTCTAAAATTAGGTGTTCGAAGAATATTTACAAATGTTCCTTTGATTACTACAACAACGACAACAACAATGAATAAAAATATAGCATATACAATTCGAGTTGGAAGAAGAGGTCGAGATGCATGGCTTGCAGTAGATGGCATAGGAAATGTAACTGGGCGAGTGGCTGGATCTATGACTCGACTCGATGTATCACCAATACTTTATATTGGTTGTTTTTTTATAATTTAATATTATTTAAAGAAATTTATATTTGAAGAATAATTTAAAATATTATAATAAAATATTATTTGTAATATTTATTAAATCATTATTGTATGAACAATTTATAATTCTAATATAATAAAATAAAATTAATTTTTTATTAGGTGGACACAAATCAAAAAACTTTGAATCTTTACCTCATGATTTGCCACTTCATACTGGATTTTCTGGTTGTATATTTGACATTGAACTACGTACAAAAACCACTATTTATCCAATAACCAATTCAAGTCCTGCAACAGGTCGTGGTGTTGGTGAATGCCACAGAAATGAATGCATTCATCATTTATGTAAAAATGGTGCAGTATGTTTAAATCATGGAGCAACATATAGGTGACTTATTTAGTATACAATTTTTAATAATACATATTAATTATATAAAATATTAATTAATTAATTATTTCAGTTGTATTTGTACAAAAGACTGGATGGGATCTGACTGTTCCATACCAATAGAAACATTATCTTCTGTTAATCCATTTTCTTGCCATAGTTCAAAATAATAAAAATATTATGTTATTATTTAATTTTATTTCAATATATTATATGAAATTAAATTTTATATTGAATTCAATTAATTTTTATTATTTTGTTTTGGTTGATATGATACAGAATAAGAATTCAAATGCACAAATAAAATAGCTGCAGCTAAACGAGCTTGTAAATCATATTTATTATGATCATGAAACCATTCTACAGATCCCCAATGAGAAATCTACAATCAAAAGTAGAATAATAAAAAAGAAATAGATTATAGGATATTATATTATATTATATTATAAATCTTTTAACATAAATATTGATATACATACTTGATAATTTTCCTCCAAACGCGATTGTTTTACAGCTTCTTTTATACTAATGACTTCTTCTGCTGCAGCTAGTGTAAGAATTACAGATTTGATTGCATCTACTCCATACATAAAACCTATGAATAAAACAATATTCATAATACAACAACAATAATCATAATATATTTCTGTACATTATTAATATATATAATTATATTATTTACCATAAATTGCACTGTAATTATAAGACATTAAATGTCTTGTCAATATTATTTTAGTTTCTGAAGATATAGTAGGGGCTATTATACTTTGAGTTTTTATCATATTTACTCTATAATTATCACAAAACCATTGTACTAGTGGATCCCAATTTTCAGTTTGTAATTTATGTAATTCATCACTTTCCTAACAATATATTTATTATCTATTTAATAAATGTCTTAGATTATAAATAAAATTATATATAATATACTTACACTTGAATGAAATAATAATGTATCCATTTCTAAAGAATTTACAATATAATTTACCATATCTTCTTTTGTATAGTTGTGAGGATTATCAATCACAGTATTACAAAGTGCTGTCTTTCAAATTGAATGTAGAAATATGTTAAATCATATTTATTAAATTATATTTTATTTACATTTAATTTAAAAAGATAAGTTTACCAAATGCATATTGCTTTTATCAATAATTTGTTTTTGCATATCCCATTCAGTTGCTATAGCTAAAGCTAAAGGTTTACTATCTACTTGAAATATTTTTCCTTGTGGTGTTTTGAGTTTTCTTTGATCAAGTGTAATTTCATATTTTCCACTACTTGATAATATATTTGTTTTTCGATAAAATCTTTTAAGAGTAGCTAAAAAATGATTTGTGTATTTTATAAAAATTAATTTTATTTTAAAAATATATTACTTTTCTGTTATACTGAGATATAGAATTGTAGGTTAAAAATTATAAAAAAATAAAAACTTCATATTTTACCCATATTTCTCACAATATTAAAAGTCATAATAAATTTCTTGTATTTAAAATAATGCATTTTTATTATATATTAAAATGCTATCCGTATCATAAATATTATTTTATCGCTTTCATACGTTTAACAATCGATTATAATACAATTATAATATTCGGCATCAGTTAGTTATAGATATTTTATTATCAAATTTATTTATATAATGTAATATTTATAAAATATATAAATACAATAATTTTTCTTCATTTAATAATTTTATAAATATATTTATCAAAAAATTTTTAATTATTTTTTTGATTTATTTACAATGAAATAAAAATATTTAGAGAAATATTTTATTTTATATATGCTATCTAATTTAAATTATATATTTATGTTAATATTATAATATAATATATAATATAATAATATAAAACAAAATTAAGTTTATAAAAATATATATGCACTTCTAAAAATTCATTCAAATTAATACAAATAAATTAAGAATATATGTTATAATTAACTAAAATATAATTAAATTTTATTTTTTGAATAATATACAAGAAAGAAAATAAAAAACATTTCAAAATTTAAAAAGATTTAGACAAGATATTTATACAAATGATAAAATATTTCACAGAAGAACGAATTTTCAACTATAGATAACATTTTATTTGTATATATTATTATATTATTGTATATTATGTATTAACTATAATAAATTATATTTCCTATACTCTATATATCCTATATATATTATATTATCATTTTATACTATTATATCATTCTGATTTTATATTTAAATATATGAAAATTTTTATATTATGAACATATCCGTTATTTTTGTTTTGTAACTTTTATCATGAACATATATACAACATAACTCGTTAAAAAATTCATATTATGTTTATAAAATTACAACATGTTTTAGTCGCCATAGAAAAACATAAAGTATATAGATTGTGTGGGTGGATTCCATGTGTGTTTATAGAGTGTAGATTATTATTTTAGTAGTAAAATCAGAAAAAGTATATAAAAATAATTTTTAACAATAAGAACTTATACGAATTTTAAAAAAGTTATTTATAACTTTTTATATTTATCAAATTATATGTACAAAAGCGCTTAAAGTTAATTAAACATGAAATGTTATCAACTGATTTTAATCGTTTTAGACGTATGCTTAATATATAGCTTTAATTTAGAACCAAGAATACCTATTATTAAAAAAGGATTAAATGGTTCTTATTTCGGTTATTCTGTAGCCGAACATCAAGAAATTTCCCACGATGGTATAGAAAAACCGAAAAGCTGGTATATATTAATATTTATAATTTCTCTTTATTACAATTAAAACTAACAAAAAATGTATAACAACAATATATATTTATTTTATATATGAATAGTATTACAATATTAATACTTCATTTATGATATATTTATAATAATTGTTACTTATTTTAATTTTAATTTATTTATTATCAGTGTGTGATATAATAATAAACTGCATAAATACAAAAATACATTTTAAAAGATTTATCATATAATATATATAATATATCATAATATTATTATATTATATTATATGTAAATAAACATATATATATTAATATCTTATATCAAGATTATTTTGATACATATTATAATATATTTTATTATATTATTAAAAAATTATATTAAAAATCTAAAAAATTACATATGTTACAGGATGTTAATTGGAGCTCCTTTAGATGAAAACAGACAACCAAAAACTAATAAATCTGGTGCATTATGGCAATGTCCTATGACAACATATAAAACAGATTGCATTCAAGTGATTACAGATGGACGATTAAGTATGTTTTAACAAAAACTTATTAAAAATTTTAATATAAATATTTTATTTATTAATTATAAATATAATTCTATGTTATATTAAAATATTTATATTATTTTTTATATTATATTTACTAACTTATATTAATGTATATTAATATAAATAATAAATGTATATTAATGTTTTTCTTAATATAAGTCAAAATTTAATTGATTAGCATACAGTTAGTAAAAGGAATTTATTTTAAAGAATTATTATTAATGAAATTAAATATATATGTATATATATATATATATTCAATTTTTATGTTATAGTATGTGTCATATTATGTTTACATATGATTTTAATGTAGTAATTGTGCATGTTATCTTTGATGTTATTATGTTATTCTGCTTTATTTTATGTTATATGTATAATAAGATTATTTTTTTGTTAAATTATGTGTTGGTTAACGAGCAGCAGAAGGGAGTCTGTATGACACAAGTAAGTCATTGAATGGTCTTATTTGAATGAGCAGTCTTTTAATTATTTTATGAATTATTTGATTATATGATTTTGTGTATATTTATATTGATATGCTCATTTTTATATTAGCATGGCATTTTGAATTATAATATAAAAATTATTTTTTTGCACTTATGTACATGTATATATTAAAAAAATCTATATATGTATATATAGATTTTAATATCTATATATATTACATATTATAAAAAAATATTTTTTATAATGCATTATTAACAGTCATTTTTTCAAATTTGCAATCATATTCTCACTAACTATAGAATATTTTTATACATTTGCATATTGAAACATAAACATTATACATATATAATTTTCTATAACATAAAAAAATAAAATTGTTTTCTCATTTATATATGGATATATTTGCTTTTGCTTTTTAGTAATCTTTCTGATCTATCCTTCATTTATTATAGCATGAAATTTTATAAATAATGTTTTATATTATTTAGCTTTTATTTTTTTATTTTTATTTAAAGAATTAAAATATATTAATTTAATAATACATGTAAATATTTACCTGGAGTATTTCTTTTATCTTAAAATTATCATATAATTATATTTTTTTATATTTTATTATATTATTTTATATATTTTTTTATTATATTTTAATATAATTAAAAATATAATAAATAGTTAAAAAATTATTAGTTAATTTGAAGACATAAATATAATAAATAAATTGATATTTAACATTTTTGATCAAAAATTTATATTATATGATGAATAATACATTTGATTGAATATATCATTATTCAATCATTAATCAATCTTTTATCATTATTGTTATAAATTGTTTAATAAAATATTTTCTGAATTTTAGATGTTGAATCTGATGACTTAATACCACCAGGTAATGATGAAATTAAAAATAATCAATGGTTGGGAGTAACAGTACGCAGTCAAGGTATTGGTGGCAAAGTAATGGTATGAATTTTATCATATTTTATCTAATGATATTATATTATATAAAATTTTATTCAATATAATAAATTTCTAGGTTTGTGCTCATAGACATATTGTACGAACAGCAGATTCTCAATGGGGTCAAGGACAATGTTATATATTGACACAAGATTTAAAATATCAAGATTTAAAAAAACCTTGTTCTGGAAAACCTACAAACAAGTAATTCATTTAATATAAATATTTCTATTATTACATATATAGTAGAATCAATAAAAATTATTTTGATGATATTACAGAGCACATGAACAGTTTGGATATTGTCAAGCAGGAACTAGTGGTGTACTTACTTCAGAGGACCGTGTTGTTATTGGTACTCCTGGTCCACACACTTGGAGAGGAACTTTATATCTTTTTACAATTTCAGATGATTTTTTAAATAGAGATAATACAGTTTATAATGCTCCAATGCAAGATTTTTCTCCTGTTAGTAAATATAGTTATTTAGGTAAATATTTTTTATATGAAAATATACATATAAATGTAAATATAAAATTACAATAATGATAATTTGATAATAAAATATTTAATAATTTTATTAAAATACACAAAGAAATATATTAATTAATTCACAGGAATGTCTGTTACTGTGGGTAATTTCTTTGGTACTGGATTAGCTTATGCTGCTGGAGCCCCACGTTCAAATGGTACAGGTCAAGTTATTTTACTTACACGACGCGATAATAAGCCAGATATGGATGTTGCTTTTATATTGGATGGTGAACAATTTGCTTCAAGTTTTGGATACGAAATTACTTCTGCAGATGTTAATGGAGACAAGTATAATAATTTTATAATTTTAAAGAATATAATAAACATTTTTATTTTAAATTATTAATTATCTTTTCTTTAAATTTAGAATTAGCGATCTTATTATAGCTGCTCCATTTTACTTTAATAAAGCAGAAGGGGGTGCAGTATATGTCTATACTACATTGCAAAAAGCTTATAAGGAACATGAAAAGAGTAAACCCATTAAACTTGTTGGACGTGAAGAATCAAGGTTGTCTTTTTTTTAAATTTATATTTTTTAAAAATTTCATAAATTAAATTATAATTATTTTCCATTTATAAATTAAAATTTATAAATATGCAATAATAAATTATAGATTTGGATTTGCTTTAACAAATTTGGGGGATTTAAATAAAGATGGATATGAAGATATTGCTATTGGAGCACCATATGAAAAAAAAGGAACAGTTTATATATATCTTGGTTCAAAAAATGGAATAATCACAGTACCATCACAAGTATTGTTACATTATATAAAATTGTATAATATATATAATATAAAAAATATGATATATGATATAATATAAGAAAATAAATTTATTATGTTTATGTAATATTTTTTATGTTGCTATAATTTAACAATTTTTAAAATTAAATTTAGGTTATTCATGCAGAAGATATGCCAGAACCACTTCAAACATTTGGTTATTCATTAAGTGGTGGGATTGATATGGATCAAAATGGATATTCTGATTTATTAGTAGGAGCCTATGAAAATGATGCTGTAGCACTTCTTCGTTCGAAAAAAATAATTGATATTACTACTTACATCCGTTATTTAAAAAAAGATGGTACATTTCAAGAAAAAATAGAACCCATAGATCCTAATAAATTTGGATGTTCAGCAGATCCTCATTCAAATCATACATGGTAAATATAATTTAATAAATTTTTAATACAAATGAAATTTTCATCAATATTATACTTATAAAATTCTAATTATATTTTTGTAGTTTTTCATTTGAAGCTTGTTGCAAAACAGAATCTTTAATAAAAGAAGAAGATATGCAAAATTTAAAATTAAATTATTATATTGAAGCAGAAACTTATACTGGAATTAAAAAATTTTCTAGAGTTTGGTTTGGAGCTGGATATTCTCATCTACATTATGTAAATCGTACTGTCAATTTAGATACAAAAAAGTTTGAACATTGTCAAAAAGAAATTATTTACTTAAAGGTAATATTTTATATATCAAATATTTTATAAATAATTAAACAATAAATTAAAAAATTGTTTTATTTTATTTTATTTTTTTTTTAAGGAAAATACACGTGATATTCAATCACCTATTAAATTTCGCTTAAATTATTCACTAATTCAAGAAGAGCCAGTTATGCCATCTGAAGGAGAACCTTTACCTGATATAAAAAATTATCCTATATTAAATCAACAAGAAGCTGCTCGTGTATTTGAAGCAACCTTTCAAAAAGATTGTGGTAATAATGATATTTGTGAAAGTGATTTACAAGTAAAGGCTCGATTAAATTTATCAGGTATGATTTTAAATAAATAAAAAAAAGTTACGAATATTAAATTATTAAAATATTAATTAAAAAATTATTGAATTTTTAATGATTAGCTTCTTCTGTAAAACCAAACTTCTATGAACTTCTTCTGGGAGAAAAAGAAGAAGTTGTAGTGGATGTAAACGTATCCAACATTGGAGAATCTGCATACGAAGCTCAATTATTCATTCTTCATTCACAAAGTTTAAATTATATTGCTAGCAAAAGTAATGATTCTATAATTTGTAATTTATATAATGCAAGTACAGTAAGTTGCTCCATCGGAAATCCTTTTAAAAAAGACAAGCTAGTAAATATACAAGTAAGATTTGATCCTAAAGAATTAGAAGATAATAAATCACAATTAGAATTTATAATATTTGCGAATTCCACTTCAAAAGAAATAAAAGAAAAAGAACCTATAAAATTACAAGCAACAATATTGAAACAGGCAGAATTATCAATTAAAGGGTATATATAAATATTTTTTTTAAGTTCATAAAATAATAATAAAAAATTTTTATAAAATAAAATACTATAAAATTAATAATTTAATAAATTTAATAATTTAATAAACTGTAAACAAGTTATTAAAATTATAGAAGCGCAAAAATTCAGTGGGCTGTATATGGTGGACCAATTATAGGTGAATCTGCTATTAAATATTTAAATGAAGTAGGACCTAAAGTATCACATGTGTATGAAGTATTTAATGAAGGTCCATGGAGAGTAAGTAGTTTAGAAGTTCGCATTTCATGGCCTTATGAAGTTGCAAATGATAAAGCGCATGGTAAATGGCTTTTATATTTAGAAGAAATACCAATTGTTCAAGGTAAAATCTTATTTATATCAACATTATTTATATAACATTTTTATTTTAGTTTATATTATAGGATATATATTATATTTACTTTATAGCTTCAGGTGATGGTGAATGTATATTACCACCAGGACAGATAGTTAATCCTTTAAAATTACAAGACAGTATTAGTTATGATGATATAGATGTATTTCAATCTACAATATCTACTTCACTTACATTACCACACAATCATACAATTCGTATGAGAAGTAGGCGAGATACGGAAAAAGTTGTTAATACACGAACTGTTATTGATAAAGATGGTCATAGACATCAAGTAGTTTCCATGGTAATTACTTTATATGTTTTTTAAAATTTAAAATTAATTATTACTAATATATATTAAGATTAAAATTAATAATTTTTTATAAATATAGAATTGTAAAGCAGGAACTGCAAAATGTTTTGATATTACATGCTTTATATACAATTTGCAAAGAAAACAAGAAGCAATTATAACTGTTAAAGCAAGGTAACATTTGATAGAAATATTATATTTTATTAATTTTATATAATTATATAATTTATTAATATATATTGTATTCTTTTATTAATTTTATTAATATTTTTATTTATAATAGACTATGGAATTCTACTCTTGTAGAAGATTATCCAAAAGTAGATAAAGTAAAAATTGGTTCTAATGCAAGAATAATTATTCCTCCAAATGTTGTAATACAACAAGAAAATTTAAAAGATGATTATGCAATTGTAAGTATTATTTTAATATATTATTATTATATATTGTTTTATTTTTATTATATTCATTAGTTTTTTTAATTTATGATATATATTTATATATGTACTTTTTATTTTAACTTATATTTTAATATATAGGCTGAAACAATTGTATATCCAGATATTCTTGATCACCAAGATGTTGAACCAGTACCAATATGGATAATCATAGTAGCTGTTGTAGCAGGTTTATTATTATTCATTTTACTTACTTTAGTTCTTCGAAAACTTGGATTCTTTAAAAGACGACGACCAGATCCGACTTTATCAGGAAATCTTGAAAAACATAGAGATGATAATCCAGAAAGTGAAGCATTATTTAAACGCCAAATATTATAACAAAAATGTTACATTTTTTTACGAGTTATTATTTACTTAAAGTACTTATACTTATATAAAGTACTTAACAACAAAAATCTATAAAAAATTTATTCTTCAAAAACGAAGAAAATACAATAAAATATAAAGTTTGAATATTTGATCCTAATGTGATATATTGACTTATTTATATTTGCATTTCTTTTACAAATCGATTTTATATATACTTATACTTATTTAAAAATTACATTATTATATTAATTATAATTCCCAATATAACTATTATAAATATATATAATAATGAGTTATTGATTTTTTATTGTATAATAATTTTACGAATTGTAAACTCTATATTCTCATATATCATTATAAATTCTATTTATCTATATATTCTTATAAAAACTTTATAAAAATTATTCAAAATATTAAAATCTTTAAAAAATTAAAAGGTATAAAAGGTAAAAATTACTTTTTATGACAATAATATTATTGAATTTGTATAAGCGCACAATTTGAATCATATAAAAATACGGAAAATTTAATATTTAATATTGTACAACTGGATTTTTAATTTCACGTAATTTTTGAAACCATATAATAAAACAATATTTATTACAAATATATAATATTTTATAAAAGTTCAGATTCATATTTTATAAAAAAAATGCATTTATTTAATATTAAATATTTTTGTAATATATATAAGTTTCTTTATATGTTTTAAATTAAAACTTGCAATTTAAAATGCATTTCATATAAAAAAAAGTTATACAGTTCCTTTTTTATTAAAGAGTTGGAAATCACAGGCTAAAGATTTCATAATTAATGCAAACTTGTCATCAATTTTTTAATATAGAACAAATGTAAATCGTAAAAATATAAATATATTTAATTATAAAATTTAAAGCAAATAAAAAAATGATAGTCTTAAATTGTTTTTTTACTATGATTTAAAATTTAAATATATATAAAGATTATAGTTTTTTTAGTTACTTATATTTTTATTGTTTTATATTTCATTTTTTATATTTCATATTAAATTGATATTTATATTAATTATTAAATATTAATATATTAAGTATTAAAATTAAAAATAAAATGCTTAATATCTTTTTTAATAAATAAATTTTTATATATTTTTCTCTTATAATGAAAATACATAATGAAAATTTCTTTTTATAATATTATACAAAATATTTAATCATTAAATTTTTTTATTTTATCATAATTTTTTTATCATTATACATATTATTTATATATATAATTTATATTATATGTATATTATATACTATTACACAATAACAAAATATTATGTAATAACAAAATATTATTATCTTATTACATAACATACAATATATTAAAACATATATATTATTAACACATATATATATATATTATTAATTCTAATATATATTAGAAATATTTAAAAATTATTGACTAAGTGCATTGCACATTTTCATGTTATAGCACATTCCTTAAAGTATTTATATATTTTTTTTGCATTAATAAATACAATGAGCTACATTATATAATATTAAAATAATTATAATACTTGCTGTAAGTAATTATAATATATTCCAGAATAAAATAAAGAAATATAGTTAAATTTAATTGTTAATCAAAAAAATACTATTAGAAATTTATTATATTTAACCATAATATTTCAGACTTTATTATAATTTTTATATTATTATAATAAAGTAATGATTATTTGAATAATTATTACTTTATTATAACAATATAATGATTCATTATTTATATCTTTATATTAAATTTTTTATTACATAATAATATAATTTTTGTATTAAAATAATTAGATATAATTCGTAAATTTAATTTAATTTAAAAAAAATATATTTTTGTTTTATAAATATCATTTAATAAAATAATTAAAATACTTACAATCAACTTTATAAACCAACCAATATTTTTTGCAACAAGGAATATAAACAACAAGTTCTAAAAACATATAAATTAAACATTTACATTACAAATCAATAAAAAATATATTTTATAATAATATTTTAAAATAATATTTAATATTTTGTAAAATAATAATTATTATTATTTATAATTATATTTTATTTATTATTATATTTATTATATTTTTTTTATTACATTATATTTCATTATTTCATCTTTAAAAATATATTAAACATTAATGTATATGATAATCAATATTTAATGTCAATTTACTATAATATGTATTCAAATAAGAACAATCTGCCATCATGAATCTATAAATTTTATAGAAAATTAATTTTCTAAGAATGATACATATAAATGATACTGATTAAATGATATTTATTAAATTATACTTACTTATATAACAATATTGTAAGTGGAATTGTACTTGCATGCCATAAAGAATGAGCATCAAAAATCCAAAAAATGGGTGCAAAATCTGTTATTTCTAATATAGTAACAAAAACTGTTAATATATTGAACCAACCGATCAAGTATACATAAGATAATTTTTTTTGATTACGATGCCACCATGTCATTGTTATAACAAATGTTAAAAATCCTGTAATATATTTAATAATTTAATTTAAAAAGTTTATTAATAAAATAAAAATAATATTTTACTAATTACCTATAACTACATTAAATTTCATGTTATAGTCATAATTAATATAACCAGACCATAAATGAGATAAATGTGAATATAAAATGCTAAGATATCCACATGTAATCACAGCAAAAAACTTATTATTTTTATAAGTTATCCTAAAATGTTCACAGTAATGAATATTTCTTAAATTGTTTTATTAATATTATATTCTAGTTAATAATATTCTAATTAATATACCTTAATAACATACAATATAGTAATGTAAGAACCATAATAAAAGCAGAGGAATAATCCATTACTTCTGTAAATGGAATATCTCTTGCATGAAAAATAAATGACCAAAACCAACCATGCATGCATACCTATAATTTTTTATATTTACATAAAAAACAATATTTACAAAATAGAAATTTATTTAATAAAGTCATATTTTTATATATAATTATATATTTACCAGACTGAAGTAAGTCCATATATAAAACATAGGATAAGTTGATCCATATTTTTTTTTAAATTCCAATACATAGTAATATGAGCATAAAAATTTAATATAGAAAATATGACAGAAGCAGGTTCCTGACAACCAAAAAGACGAATAAATGGCCACTGAAATAGAAAATTTCAATCATTATTTGTAATAATTAATAATAATTAGCAATCATAAATAATTATTATTGTTTTTTCTTTCAAAACATTTTAATCAAAGAAATTAATTATTTTTTCAAATTAATTGAAATATAATTATAACATAATTGACCATTATAATAATTCTAATTATTCTAATTATTTTAATTAATTAACAAAAATCTTGCATTAATAAAAATAATCATCAATATATTAATTTGAATACTGTGCAATAATTTAAAACAGATGATTTCTTTCATTGAAATAAATGTTTTTTCTTGCATTAAACAAAAATTTTCAAAATACAATAGCGTATAAAAATTAAAATAATCATTTAAACATAAATGGAATAATAAAAAACTCTATTAAATTTCTCTTTCTATACTATATCATGTCAAAATTATCATAGTATGTTAAAATTATTTGCAAATATTTATTTTGAATTCATTTTTCATTGTTCTTTTATTATATTAAAATAAAATATATAAAATATATAATTTTTTATTAAAAATAATAATAATAAAAAGAAAAAATAATCTTTAAATAATTTTTAAAAAAAATTGTTGCTTTATACTATTATATCCCATATAAAAAATTAAAAAAAGAAATGTTTATATCTTCTTTTTTATTATGAATCTCTTAGCAAATTAGCAATAGATATTCAATATACCTTTCCATGAAATTGAGGAACTTTTAAACCATGAGATATAAAATAATCAACTGTCTTCCAAGTGCATCTATAACCACAATCTTCTGTACAAGACCAAAATAGTAATCTTAATGATAAAGAAGGTAATTCTTTAAATTTTTTATCTATAAAATAATAAGTTAATAATTAATAAATATTATATAATTATATATAATTATATATATAATAAACTATAAGTTGTTAAAATATTTTCTTTTTATTATTTTAATTATAGAATTAAAAAAAATAAGTTTATATAATAATTTCATTAGAAGAAACATTTTTTAATTTATTATAATCTAAGTATATTATATACATACCTCTATCACAATTACTATCAAGACATTTTTCAAAACATAAATTGTAAAATTGAGACTTGTCACCTATGGAACCTTCTATATTTGTTATTATAAGCATTTGAAATGCTAAAACTAAAAGCCATTTTAATTCCAACATGTTCTATGTTTATCGCCACTATTATAATTTATGATGTTAAGAAACCTTAATAATAAAGCAGAAATCCAATATTTATCTAATATATCCAATCTTAAACGAATTAATATTACAATACTACTAATGTTATAATACTAACAAAATATATTTATATTTCACTTTTAATTATAATTTAATTATAAGATATTAATTTTTAATTAAAAATAAAATATAAAATAAATACATAAAAGATTTATGAAATTATTGTTTAATTTTTTTTATTAGTTTATATTAAATTGAAGTAGGACTAAAAAGTGATACAAAATAATTATTTTTTTCAGTTTATATTATTTATATTAACAAATAAAAAATTATAAGTATTCATTTTATAAAATTTGTATTCATATATATATATACACATACGTATCAAAAAAAAATATATATATATATGTATACAAGATATTTTAAAAATATTGAAACAGTGATTTCTAAAGTTTCTTGAAATAATTTCGAGCAATATTTTTTTTTATAAAAACTTTCATTACATTGTATTAATAAATTATTAAAAAAATATTATAATATCAATCGCGGAGCACATAAATTATTCAACTTTTGACAATAGCGTTGGGTATGTGTTCTTGGCTAAGCACGAACAAATTCAAGCAATATGAATTAAAGAAAATTTGATTGAAATAACAATTAATTAGAATAAATAATTTATTCATTGTTTCTGGATTTTTTTCATTAAAATATATTTGTTATATTTAACAGATTTTTTACAACATATATTGCTTGAATTTGTTCATATTCAATCAACGATACATACCCAATGCTATTGTCATGACTTGACTATGTGCTCTGTGATTGGCTAGTATTTTTTGTTAATTACTCGTTAAAAAAGTCATAATGAAAATTTTTGCGAAAAAAAAATGTTATTTGAAATTACTTCAAGAATTTTCAGTTAATCAATGTCTCATACTCTTGCGTCATTTTCTCTCTCTCTCT